ATTGGAGTTAGTTCCAAAATTATTTTCAAATACCATGGATTTACATCAAAATATATGAGACAAATAATGAGTAGGGAGGCATTAATTTTGCCATAACTGAAGTAGTTGAGTCATGACACATTTATGATGATGATGATTATTATTATTATTGTTATTATAATTGATTAATGATAATCATTCCCTTGCTGCTGCACAAATCCTCCACATAAAATTGGAACTTGAATAAACAAAAAACGAACAAATGAGAACAAAAGAATTTTTGACTCAAGGTCCAAAGTGTAACTTGTAACTCCTTAAGGTTTCCGTGACTCTGGGTCACTGCAAGTCTCAGCTGGGAGCTGGTTGGTAAAAACTTAAGAAACATATAATGTCTCTCACTATGTATTGATACTGTTTTCAGGGACCAGTCCAGAAATTATGTTGTTTTTGTTTATTGACGTCTGAGCATAAATATTTATGCTGTTTATCGACTAATAAACAAACGATAACCTTCGGTGTTACATTATAGACTAAAAATCTTGAAAGAGACAACAAAAATCCTTCTTTTTACAAGACAGTAGCTTTGGAGTGATGATTGCATAGCTTTAGTTTTCATACACACAGAGAGAAAGTGTGAGTGTATATGAGTGTTTGTTTAATATATGTTAGCATGTATCTTATCTGAGTTTGTTGTGCAAGTTTGTGCTCTACACTGCGGCACCCAGTGATGTGTCCGGCTCCCACTTTGCTGGGTGGGATATTACTGTCTGCAGCGGCATGTCGTGTTGGAGTTGTGACAAATCGACCACCCCGGGTAAAGGGCGCCTGGAGGACGTCCAGTCTGCACGCCACTGGGAAGGTCTCAGATCCACGCAGGGCTGTACGCAGATCCTTCTGTTCTGCACAGCAAGGTCACACTTTACTTTATGAGGGCCAGCTGCCATGGTTTGGCAGCTGGTGGAATGAAGCATTCAATATCTATGGCAACAATGTGTTCATATGCTGTGGTACAGAATGTGTGTTTTTGCTTGATCGTTTTAGAGATATTTGTTGAATTACCTCACTATACTGCACGACCAAAAGTCGCCATTTGAATTTATAACAGCAAATACTTAAGAGCCCATGACTGGATCATTATTACAGCTCAGCAACGTTATGCAGCAATAAAGTAAAGTCAGCTGAGTACCTGAATCTACTGAATGGCCAGGTTACACCTCCATCCATCATCAATGGATTTTTTTCTTCTCTGTTGGCCTGGGCATATTCCAGGACAAGAATGCCAAGATTCATTTGGTTCGAATTGTCGAAGAGTGGTTCAGGGAGCATGAGGAATCATTTTCACGCATGACTTGGTCACCACAGAGTTGCAGCCTTAACCTGATTGAAGGTCTTTGGGATGTGCTGAAGGAGGCTTTATGGAGGTTCAACTCACTTGTCAATATAGGATCTCGGTGAGAAATAAATGCAAAACTGGATGAAAATAAAGGGTGAGATGTTGCATAAGCTTGTGGAAACAATGGCATGACAAATGTGCGCCATAATCAAAGTTAAAGGTGGTTCAACGAAAAATACAAATGGCAACTACTTTTTTGGCTGAGCAGTGTACAATATCGCCTAGCATGCAAACATGAAACTATGTTTTAAATGCATGTATCATACAAACGCTGTTTCTTCATTGCAGATTTCAAATGAATGGATTTAAATTAGGTTCATGTCAGAGAAATTGTAGGTTAAGGTCAGAGAACCCCAACGTGGATGTATGTTCACAAGTTCCGATGCATAATCTGTTGACCAGAACTAAACAGGAACCCTGGTGGCATCAAAGGGACACAAATGTGGGGGCCGTTTACCCTGGCAAACAGAAACCAGACGGTAGCGGCATTATGATTCATCCACATCTGATGTGCTGTGCCAGAAAATCAATATTCACACATGGCTGCTTCAATTAAGTGCTGACTATGCATAGTCGAAAAAAATGCTGGTTAATATCTTGTCACTTTTAATCAGGATTAACCTGCCATTTTCTTAAAAAGCTGGAATGGTGCATATGGAAAATAATCTAAAAGTTTCAGAGAATTTCTATTGTAATATGTATATTGATGAATGAAAATGTAAATAATCAATTGTTTTAGTAAAAAGTATCTCAGACAGATACAGAAATGACATCTCGGATTACAGAAAAGATATATTTACACACTGCTTTCATTTATACTTCCACATACATTAGCATTCTCCTTACTAATAAAGGTCTAGCACACCTGTAGATTTCTCTAATGCAGGCACCATGATTAGTTTATTCAATGCAGAGTTATAGCAAGCCTGAAGCGTTTCCTAGGAAACTCATGGCAGGGCACACTCAGGACAGGATGCCAGTCTCTTACCGAGCACATACATACATACATACATACATACATACATGAAGTTGGAGACAAAAAAAACATGGCAAATAGGGAAAACCTACAGAGACAGAACCTCCACATGGACTGAGCCTGGACAGGAATCATAGCCCCTTTTCAATGTTACCCAGCGACCCACACAGAGCTGTGTAACTCCAGGCCCGACTATATATATGTAATTATAGTCATTATTATAATCATACTATAATAATTATTGAGAGTAATAATAATAGCATATGTCCTATAATAATTTTCCCTCCGTTCCTGGAGTTTGCGTAACGTCGTCCAGGCCAGGCAAAGAGGTCATGTTATTTCCGACCCCACGGTGGAGATCGTCCACTATTCTGCAGCCAGACCCTTCTTAGCTCCAGTCATGCACACTATGGTCTCGGACTTGCCTCCAGGCACCCCCGCCATTGGACTTGGATGCCATTTGTTAAAGATATGATCTTGTCTTGGCTAAGTTGGACTCAAACAGAACTGGAACCACCATCTCCATGGGGTAGGCGGTCCCGCCGGCGGGATCTGATAGAAATTTCGCCAAACCATTTAAATAACTGCGAGTTTTTGTCATATACATATTTTAAAAACACCCTCAGAAACCTCGGACGGTCTACTTTTCAAATATATATAGGTAGAAACTAAATATATTTTTACAGCTTCGTGATACGAATAGAAAGAACAAGAGTGACTGACTTAAGCTTCTGCGTCTGGAAGCAGCTCTGATCGCCTTCCCACTTGCAAATCGCGCTATTCGCATGATAATAACATGATAATCCGACAGTTATTATTGGGTAAAGAAATATGTGAATACGCCCATTGTGACCGAAATAAACAAGAGCACATGTCTGGGTAGTGTTTACACTGATCGTCTATAATATAGCACACGGATACGTCTCTGCCGCTGAAGCTTTGCGCCAATGTTGCCATTTTCAGCAGCGAATCTCATACCTGTGTCCATGGCTCAGTGTGTTAAGCCTGTGTGCCTGTAATCACACGATTGCCGGTTCAAACCCAGTCTATTTAGAACGTGAATAGCGATCTTCAGCTGAGAACGGTTCTACACGCTCTCGATGCAAGTAAAAGAAAGATGACACGGCTTGCTTTTTTGCCTATTTAACCAAATTTTAAAAACTTTAATACTTCCGACAATGGAAGTTTTGAAAAGATGACCGATTACGGATTTAGTCAGGGTTTTTTTCATGATTCCACATAATGATTTCAGCGATATAAACTGATCAAATACACCAGAAAGATAAGCGGTCGACGATGCCCTCGTCCCGAATGTGTTAATAATAATCACTGCATCATATTTATCGCTTTCTATATTTATATGATCACAGTTTTTCATTTTTCATACCATCTACCAATAAACTATGAACGGGATTTTATTGTTGCTACTTTTCTTGCGTTTCAAACTGCCTTTCCAAAGTGATGGGTGTGGGG